GTAGGCTATACCATCTAGGTTTGTGTAAGTATACTCTATGTTGTACACATAACAACAAAATGACCTAATGCATTTCACAGAACGTATCACCATTTCACAGACTGTATATGTTCTTTTCAAGTGCCCTTAGAACATATACCAAGATAGATCATATCTCGGGCCATAAAGGAAACCTAAACATATTTAATAGAATTTAACTCCTACAGAGTGTTTCTGACCACAGTGGAATCAAACTAGAAATAAATAACAGGAAGATAAGAGGAAAATCTCCAAACACTTGGAAACTAAACAATAAACTTCTAAATAGTCCATGGGCCAAGGAGGAAATCTCAAGAAAAAATTAAAAAATAATCTGAATAAAAAAGAAAATATAATGTATCAAAATTTGTGAAACACCACTAAAGCAGTGCTAAGAGGGAGATTTTTATCACTTTCCATCAGAAAAGAGGAAAATCCTTGAATTAGTAATCTAATCTCCCACTTCAAGAATCTAGGAAAAGAAGAGTAAAATATACCCAAAGTTGTAAGACGAAAGGAAACAATTAAAAAGAGAAGAAATCAATGAAATTAAAACAAAAAACAGAGAAAAATCAATGAAACCAAAAGGTGGTTCTTTCAAAAGGTCAATTAGATTGACAAGCCTAGCAAGACTGACAAAGGAAAAAAAAAAACAGAGAAGACACAAATTGCCAATATGAGGCATGAAATGGGGGATGTCATTATAAACTCTGCAGACATCTAAAGGATAATAAGGGAAAACTATGAACAACTCTACACACACATATATTTGACAACTTAGATAAAATGGACCAATTCCTCAAAAAGCACAAATTACCACAACTCACTCAATGTGAGATAGAAAATTTGAATTGTCCTATAACTATTAAGGAATTTGAGTTTATAATTGAAAAATCAACATAACAAAATCTCCAGGCCCAGATGGTTTTGCTGGAGAATTCTACCAAACACTTAAAGAAGAATTCACACCAATTCCACACAAACTCTTCCAGAAGATAGAAGAGGAGGAAACATTTCCTAATTCATTTTATGAAGATAGTGTTACTCTGATAACACCAGACAAAGATAATACAACTAAAGAAAATTTCAGACCTCATGAATATTGATGTAAAAATCCTTAACATGGGCCGGCCCATGGCTCACTCGGTAGAGTGCGGTGCTGATAACACCAAGGCCACGGGTTCGGATCCCATATAGGGATGGCCGGTTTGCTCACTGGCTGAGCGTGGTGCTGACAACACCAAGCCAAGGGTTGAGATCCCCTTACCGGTCATCTTTTTAAAAAATAAATAAATAAATAAAAAATTAAAAAATAAAAATCCTTAACAAAACATTAGCAAATAGCATTCAACAACATAAAAAGGAATTATACACTATGACCAAGTAGGGTTTACTACAGGATGCAAGGCTGGTTCAATATTTTAAAAAATCTATCTTTGTAATCCACCAAGTTAAAAGGCTAAAGAAGAAAAATTGCACAATCGTTAGCAACTGATGCAGAAAAAAACTGACAAAATTCAACACCCATTCATGATAAAAACTCCCAGAAAACTATAAATACAAGAAGGTTACTCAACTTGAGAAAGAGTATCTACAAAAAACTCACAGCTAACATTATACTAATGGTTAAAGACTGAATGCTTCCCAGTAAGATATAGATTAAAGCAAAAATGCCTACTCTCATCATTAATAATACTGGAAGTTCTGGCCAGTGCAATAAAGCAAGAAAAGGAAATAAAAGACAAACAGACTGGAAAGAAAGAAATAAAATATTCCTATTTGCAAATGACATGTTATCTACATAGGAATTTCCAAGAAATCTATAAAAAGTGAGTTCAGCAAGGTTGCAGGATACAAAATCAACACACAAAAATCAATCATATTTCTGTATACTAGTAATGACCATATAGATGTTTAAATTAAAAGTACAGTACTATTTATAACCCCTCAAAAAATACTTAAGTGTAAATCTAGCCAAACATGTTCAAGACCTAAAACTACTCAACACTGATGAATAAAGTTGAAGATGATCTAAATAAATGGAGTGAGATATTGTGTTCATGGATTGGAAGACTCAACATAGTAAAAATGTCAATTTTCCCCAAAACGCAATACAGCACAATTGCTATAAAAAATGCCAGAAAGATTTTTTTGTAGATATAGACAAGACCATTCCAATTTGTGTGTGTGTGTGTGTGGCTGGACAGTACAGGGATTAAATCCTGGATTTTGGTGTTATCAGTACCATGCTCTAACCAAGTGAGCTAACTGGCCAGTCCAACAAGATCATTCTAAAATTAAAATGGAGGGTTGGCCCGTGGCTCACTCGGGAGAGTGTGGTGCTGGTAACACCAAGGCCACGGGTTCGGGTCCCATATAGGGATGGCCGGTTAGCTCACTTGGGAGAGCGTGGTGCTGACAACACCAAGTCAAGGGTTAAGATCCCCTTACCAGTCATCTTTTAAAAAATAAAAATAAATAAATAAATAAAATTTAAATGGAAATGCACAGAAACTAGAATAGCTAAAACAATTTTGAAAAAGAAGAGTGTGAGAAATCAGTCTACGCAGCTTCAAGACATTATATAATGACAGTAAACAGCACACTATGGCATTGTGGAGGGATAGACAAATAAATCAACAGAAGAACATAGAGAACCCAGAAATAGACTCATACAAATATGCCCAACTCATTTTTGACAAAAATGTAAAGCAGTTAATTGAAGGAAGAATGGAATTTTCAATGAATGATGCTGGAGCAAAATCCACAGGAAAAAAACTTACAAAGACTAAGTCTCATAACTTATACAAAAATTAACTCTAAATAAAAATAGATCATGGACCTAAATGTAAAACGTAAAACTATAAACTTTTAGAACAACACAGGGGAAAATCTTCAGGCAGAGAATTCTTACACTTGACACCAAAAACATGATCAATAAAAGGGAAATTTGGCAATTATACTTTATTAAAATTAAAAACTTTTGCTCTGCAAAGACCCTTTTAAAAGGATGAAAAGACAGAGGGGGGAGGGGAGGAAGAGGAGCAGGTAAAGGGACATGAAAATCAACTACAATGTATATTGAGAAGTTAAGAGAAAAAAAAAAGAGGATGAAAAGACAAACTAAAGACTGAGAAAATATTTGCAAGCCACATAGCTGACAAAGGACTACTATCTATAATATATAAACAACTCTCAAAACTCAACAAAGAATCCAATTAGAAAATGGGCAAGTAACACCCACAGACATTTCACCAAAGAGGGTATGTACATATGGGGTATGTACATATGGCAAAAAAGCACATGAAAAGATGCTCAACATCACTAGCCTTTAAGGAAATGTAAAGTATAACCACAATCAAATATCATTGTACACCTATCACAAAGGCTAAACTAAAAAATAGTAACAACATCAAATACTGGTGAGGATGCAAAGAAACTAAGTCATAAATTGCCGGTGGGAATGTAAAAGGTACAGCCACTCTTGAAAACAGTTTTGTGATTTCTTATAAAATGAAACACTTAACTACCACAGGACCCAGCAATTGCACTCCTGGACATTTATCCCAGAGAAATGGCAACTTAGTTCACACAAAGACCTGTATACAAGTGTTCACAGAGCTTTATTTGTAACAGCCCAGACTGGAAACAGCCCAGATGTCCTTCCACAGGTGCATGGTTAAACCAGCTGTAGTACATCCATGCTATCCAACACTTCTCAGGAACAAAAGGAAACAAAATGTTGATGCATGCAACAACCTGAATGAATCTCCAGAGAAATATGTTGAGTGACAAAAAGGCAATCCCACAGGCTACATACATGCTGTATAATTCTATTTAGATAACATTTCTGAAATGGCAAAATTATAGAAATAGAGAACAGATTAGTGTTTGCCAGAGGTTAAGCAGAGGCTGGGGGTGGGAGGGAGGTGGGTGTGACTATAGAAGGACAGCACAGGGGGTCCTGGTGGTGATGGAATGTTGTGTATCTTGACTGTTCCCATGTCAATATCCTGGCTGTGATGTACTATATAGTTTTGCAAGATGTTACCACTGGGGGAAGCAGGGTGAAGAATGCATGGGGATCTCTCTGTGTTATTTCTTAACAACTGTACATGAATCCACAATGATCTCAAAATAAAAAGTTTAATTAGAAATGTGTCAGTCAGGGTGGCCAGCCTGCGTCGCCTCTGAAGGTGCTGGGAATAGTGCATCTATTGTGTCCGGTGTGTCACTGCTTGGTCTGTGCTGCCTGTTGTCCTGAGATCAGTAGCACTGGGACTTGGCCCTCCGAGCTGGCCTTTGGCTTCCTAGCAGGAGAGGTGTCTCTCCAACCTGTGGGCCACAGCGCCTGCCTCCTGACCCCACTCGCTAGTGTCCACATTCTCTATTCCCCTGGGTTTCCTGCTTTCTCCGTTTGCTCCTGGCTGGGTTTCCAGCCCTTCCTATGGTTGGTGACGAGCAGACGGGATAGCTCACGGAATCGTGCAGTCAAGCTGTGGGGCTGCAAACCTCTGGCTGTGGTGAGGGTGGGGTGAGGAGGCCGCACTGCAGATTTACTGAAACTGAAGTTCAAGTAGAACTCTCTTACTGACCAGGGAACTGAGGCAGATTCAGGGATTTCTCCCCTCCACAATCAAACTACCTCACAACCCAAACCCACATGCTCTCTAAGATGACTGAAGTAGGACGTGGTAATGCAGGTGAGGGCGGAGCTGACTCTCATTTGGCTCACGTCTCTCGCTTACAGAGTGGTTTTGGTTTTCTCCACACATTCCAAGAACCTATTAGAATTCTCTGGCCAACTCAGGCTGCAATATCCCTGGTCAGGAGGACTTGAGAGATCGCGTGCCTCCATTACCCCCAGGGAAGCACCAGCAGAAACTTGTGACCCTGTTTTGTGGGCTGCAGGACTGCCCAGAGGACATGATGGGCTGGTGGGCACTGGGTGGGGGGCGGGGGTGGGGAGCGGAGGCTGGCACCTGTATTTGTAACCCCTCAGGACTCTCTGGATGTTGACTGCTGCTTGGTCCAGGGCCAGGCTCCTCTGTATCTCCAATTGAGTGTCCTGGTGATGCTGGGGATGGGAGAGAGGTGATCACACAGTTGCTGCCTGCCCTCCCCCCACCCCCTTGCCTGGGGCCAGGCTCTGTCTCCAGAGGTCAGCGTCTCCCAGTGGGGCAAGCCGGAGAAGTTGCCCTCAAATTCACCCTGGTGTGGCTCAGAGAAAGGAGCTGCAAATACACTGTCCACCTTGAGCCATGAACTTCCCATTTTAGCTCTTTCTTCCTGCTAATTCAATCTAGCAACCTTCAATTGCTGGTGATGCTTGCACAAGCCTCCTATGAATGAGTCACTTCATGGGGGTGTCAACACACTGAATCCCTCCACCAAAGCCCCTGGTGCAGGCTATGGCTCTGGCATGATAGTGACCAGCTCTTGAGACAGTAGGGGATTGCCCTGAGCTCCCTCGTGCTCTGGTTCTGTGGTTTAGAAGCACCTACTCCTTATCCTTGTCCTGCATGCCGTCTCTCGGAGAAGCCTCCTGGGCTTCCCTGTGCTCCCCAGTCTTGCTTTCCTGTAAGTGTGACTTTATATAACCAGGGGTGCCCCAAGGGTGGGGGCATGCCCAGAGCAGGCGCCCAGTGGCATCAGCTGGGGTGAGTGTATGGAGCTGAGCGGACCAGTCCCTCACGCTCCAGGAGGCTGACAACTAGCTGGTTCCTCAGGGTCTTACCTTCAGAAAGATTTTGGTCTTCCCCATTTTCCAGTCTTTGTCTGTCCCCAGCCACCTGTCTGCGATGTGCAGGGTCATATGGCGGAAGTTGTCTTGCAGCTGCCATGGAGAAAGCAGGGTGGCTCAGTGCCAGGTGGACCAGAGACCCCAGCTGGGGGCTGGGGGCTCCTTGAGGGTTTCCTGGGGGCACCCCACATGGTGCGGGTGAGGGGAGAAAGGGGAGCACTCAGGGCCAGGACCCCGAAGGCAGGCTTTAAGGGGTCTGGAGCCCCAGCACAGCCATTGGACACTTGGCCCCAGGCCAGCCCAAACTAGGATGGCTGAGGGTTCGAGGAAGGGTAGGAAGGACTCCCTGTCCCAATAGCTCTCAGCCAGCTCAGCCTGCTGACATTCTGCGTGTAGGACAGGGTAAGGGTTTGCTGTGGAACTGCTGACATCTCCTAGAACAAACAGATGCAGCCCCCAGCGTCACACGGACCCCAGCGGGAGCCAACCCTCCCCTTCACAGCCCTGGGAGAGAAAGAGAAGAGGGCTGGAGGAGAGAAGCGAAGGAGGGGCCCCCTCGGAACTGGGGGCTGGTCCCGGCCGGCTGACAGGCGCACCTGCGTCCGCTGGGCGCCGGGAAGCAGCACGTGGAACCGCTGCAGGAACTCCTGGAACGCGTAGCGCACGGGGAAGCCCATCCTGCGGATGCGCACGGTCTCCATCATGCCCGAGCAGCGCAGCTGCCGCGCGCACAGCGCCCGGTCGAAGAGCTGCGGAGACGCAGGCGCTCAGCTCGGCCCGCCCGGCCTCCCCGCCTGCCCAGGACCCCACTCCGCGGTCCCCGAGGACGGGCGGAGCTACACCAAGGCTTGATGGACTCCAAATTACATTTTGAAGAGAGTGGTCTCTGAAAAGTCTAAAGTATTTGCAGGGAGAGAAAAGTCGATAACATAGAAACTCCGACACCCACAAGAACACAAGACTTCCATCTCTCTCAAGATGTGCAAGTGCTGTGAATGTCCCAGTCACGTGCGAATGCCCTGTTCGATGTTCCTAAGCACCTCTTGCCCGCGTCAGGTGGGATGCGGCCCCACGAGCATTTCCAGCCTCACGGTGCCTTCCACCTCACGATGGATGGAATACATCTTGTACTCGGAGGCAGAGAATGTTCTCGTCGCCTTAGCCTCTCCCTCCCCCAAGGTGGACGTAGGAGTGAGAGCTTGCGAATGCCCTGTTCGATGTTCCTAAGCACCTCTTGCCCGCGTCAGGTGGGGTGCGGCCCCACGAGCATTTCCAGCCTCACGGTGCCTTCCACATCACGATGGATGGAATACATCTTGTACTCGGAAGCAGAGAATGTTCTCGTCGCCTTAGCCTCTCCCTCCCCCAAGGTGGACGTAGGAGTGAGAGCTGGTGGGGGCAGTTGGCTAGAGGGAGCTGAGGTGTCCCCTGCATGGAGGCAGGTGAGGCTGGCAGAGAGAAATTTGGGCACAACGCTTTCCACAGTGGTGGCCCCAAGACTCTACCATGGCTTGGCCTCTAGAGAGCCCCTCTGGACTTGGGAGCCAGGAGTCTCTGGGGGACTAAGGGAAACATAAATCAGGCAAGCCCACCAACAGACACCTGGAACACTGAGGGCTGCAGAGCCAGCTGCTCATGGGTGCAGAGCCAGCTGCTTATGGGTCCAGGCCACACAGTGGTTAGCCTTGGGGAAGTAGTTAGCTACTGTTTATTGACTATTTCCTATGAGCGTGGCAAGTCTCTAATCTTTACAGCAGCTCTAAATGGTGGGAGTAGTTGGCTCCAACTTAAATATGAGTACCCGAGGTGCAGGGTTACTCTTCTAAGTGTCTGAGACAGGGTTCAAACCCCGAGCCTGCCTGGCCCTGAAGCCTGGGTTTCCCCTATATGTCACACAGCAGGGCAGCTGCCACTGCTAAGAAGTGTCCCAGCTGGAGGCACTCATGAAACTGAGCAGCAGCCTGAGGCCTGCCCACCTGTCCTGCAGCTCTCGGAGGTGGGCAGTGTGGGTGTGGCAGAGGTCTCTAGGAGCTCAGTTGCTCTCCCAGCAGTTAGGCAACAAGGGGAGCTGTCTAACACCTGCCTTTTGTGGCTGTCAGGAAGACACCGTCTAGATTTCATGGGACAATCGCAATTGCATTTAATTTTATTCTTTTCAAAAAGGCACTTCATTTAATGCAATATTATTTTTATTCCCTTATAAGATGTTTTCAAGTCACTTTATATTCTTTCGGATGGCACCTCCCAATTTGGGGAATCCTTGTATTTGCAGCCTCTGGGTGGGATTCCCAAGCCCATGGAGCAGGGACTCAGGGGCGGGCAGCAGGCCCCCTCCCCTTCACCACACATATCCAGATGGAGCTCTCTGAGGGCTGCACCACTGCCCTCTGAAGTCCCAGTGCTGGTCGCTGCACTTTTTAAGTGCAGATTACACGTGGAGATGTGCAACTTCCAACCCTCACTGTACCCCTGCAGGCAGGAGTGAATCGGACTTTAGGGAAGAGAATACTGGGGCTCAGAGAAGTGGAGAGCCTGGCCAAGCACACACAGAAGACGATGGCAGGACTAAGAGCAGGAGTCTGGGCGATCCCGAGCCCTGCAGGTCACTGGCCTGCAAATGACCACCTTGCCTCAGTGTCCTCATCAATAACACTGGCCAGGCCCTGGTGAAGGCGCACCTGTAACTCTGGATGCCATCAGACCCATCCCCTGCCCTCCCAACCGGAGCCCCAGCCTCCCCTCCTTACCAGCGGCTTCTTGTACTCGTTGGGCTTGAAGCAGCGGATGAAGTGGGGCTGGCAGTTGGTTAGGATTTTCATCAGCTGGTCCAGGGACTGCTTGAACTGGCCTGCCAAGGTGGAGGGCCGCTTGGCGGAGTCTGCAGACTGTGTGCAGAAGCACAGGGCACATGTGGGGTCTGGGACATGGCTGACCCACAGCATGGTGAGGGTAGCTGCCAAGGTCCCACAGGTGGGGTGGTGCATTCATTTATTCATTCATTCATCCATCACAGGTTTCCCAAGTGCCTACTGTGTGCAGGCACCCAGCCGTGTGCTAGGGAACCCAGATGGGGGTAAAACGGTCTTCCCTGTACACATCAGTCTGGCCCTGTGACCCTCAGGGGTGCGAGTCCCAGGAGGCCTGGGAGGGTGAGNCACAAGAACACAAGACTTCCATCTCTCTCAAGATGTGCAAGTGCTGTGAATGTCCCAGTCACGTGCGAATGCCCTGTTCGATGTTCCTAAGCACCTCTTGCCCGCGTCAGGTGGGATGCGGCCCCACGAGCATTTCCAGCCTCACGGTGCCTTCCACCTCACGATGGATGGAATACATCTTGTACTCGGAGGCAGAGAATGTTCTCGTCGCCTTAGCCTCTCCCTCCCCCAAGGTGGACGTAGGAGTGAGAGCTGGTGGGGGCAGTTGGCTAGAGGGAGCTGAGGTGTCCCCTGCATGGAGGCAGGTGAGGCTGGCAGAGAGAAATTTGGGCACAACGCTTTCCACAGTGGTGGCCCCAAGACTCTACCATGGCTTGGCCTCTAGAGAGCCCCTCTGGACTTGGGAGCCAGGAGTCTCTGGGGGACTAAGGGAAACATCCTCTAATCAGGCAAGCCCACCAACAGACACCTGGAACACTGAGGGCTGCAGAGCCAGCTGCTCATGGGTGCAGAGCCAGCTGCTTATGGGTCCAGGCCACACAGTGGTTAGCCTTGGGGAAGTAGTTAGCTACTGTTTATTGACTATTTCCTATGAGCGTGGCAAGTCTCTAATCTTTACAGCAGCTCTAAATGGTGGGAGTAGTTGGCTCCAACTTAAATATGAGTACCCGAGGTGCAGGGTTACTCTTCTAAGTGTCTGAGACAGGGTTCAAACCCCGAGCCTGCCTGGCCCTGAAGCCTGGGTTTCCCCTATATGTCACACAGCAGGGCAGCTGCCACTGCTAAGAAGTGTCCCAGCTGGAGGCACTCATGAAACTGAGCAGCAGCCTGAGGCCTGCCCACCTGTCCTGCAGCTCTCGGAGGTGGGCAGTGTGGGTGTGGCAGAGGTCTCTAGGAGCTCAGTTGCTCTCCCAGCAGTTAGGCAACAAGGGGAGCTGTCTAACACCTGCCTTTTGTGGCTGTCAGGAAGACACCGTCTAGATTTCATGGGACAATCGCAATTGCATTTAATTTTATTCTTTTCAAAAAGGCACTTCATTTAATGCAATATTATTTTTATTCCCTTATAAGATGTTTTCAAGTCACTTTATATTCTTTCGGATGGCACCTCCCAATTTGGGGAATCCTTGTATTTGCAGCCTCTGGGTGGGATTCCCAAGCCCATGGAGCAGGGACTCAGGGGCGGGCAGCAGGCCCCCTCCCCTTCACCACACATATCCAGATGGAGCTCTCTGAGGGCTGCACCACTGCCCTCTGAAGTCCCAGTGCTGGTCGCTGCACTTTTTAAGTGCAGATTACACGTGGAGATGTGCAACTTCCAACCCTCACTGTACCCCTGCAGGCAGGAGTGAATCGGACTTTAGGGAAGAGAATACTGGGGCTCAGAGAAGTGGAGAGCCTGGCCAAGCACACACAGAAGACGGTGGCAGGACTAAGAGCAGGAGTCTGGGCGATCCCGAGCCCTGCAGGTCACTGGCCTGCAAATGACCACCTTGCCTCAGTGTCCTCATCAATAACACTGGCCAGGCCCTGGTGAAGGCGCACCTGTAACCCTGGATGCCATCAGACCCATCCCCTGCCCTCCCAACCGGAGCCCCAGCCTCCCCTCCTTACCAGCGGCTTCTTGTACTCGTTGGGCTTGAAGCAGCGGATGAAGTGGGGCTGGCAGTTGGTTAGGATTTTCATCAGCTGGTCCAGGGACTGCTTGAACTGGCCTGCCAAGGTGGAGGGCCGCTTGGCGGAGTCTGCAGACTGTGTGCAGAAGCACAGGGCACATGTGGGGTCTGGGACATGGCTGACCCACAGCATGGTGAGGGTAGCTGCCAAGGTCCCACAGGTGGGGTGGTGCATTCATTTATTCATTCATTCATCCATCACAGGTTTCCCAAGTGCCTACTGTGTGCAGGCACCCAGCCGTGTGCTAGGGAACCCAGATGGGGGTAAAACGGTCTTCCCTGTACACATCAGTCTGGCCCTGTGACCCTCAGGGGTGCGAGTCCCAGGAGGCCTGGGAGGGTGAGGGGAGCCCACCTTGAAGAGCTGGCTTCCTGCCTTTGTCTGGCGGATGTTCCCATGGCCCAGCTTGATCTCTGCCAGCTTCAGGTTGAATATCTCCCTCAGGAAGTTATTTTTGGAGGAGTGAACCAGGGTGAGGATATCTGTGCTCAGCACATCTCGGTTCTTCTCCAGGAAGTCTGTGGGGACAGCAGGGCCCGCCCGCCAGCCCAGCTCATCACTATCCACCCACGGGAAAGAAGAGGGCAGTGAGGTGGAGACACAGAATGTCTGGAGGAGCCCCCCACACAGTGGCCCCACTGAAGCCATGTTGTCCACCCCACCCCCCAGGCACGGCCCTCACTGTCTCTACCCAGCACCAAGTTGCTTCTACCTTCTAAACTCAACACCCCAACTTCCTATCCCCACTCCAGCCCCCTCATGTAAGCCTCCACCATTCTGCTGCCTCTGGGGCTTTGGGAAGTCCTGCTGGGGCTGCGGCCCCTCCAGCCTGAGCCTTCAGAAATGGGGGAGGGGCAGTGTTATGAGCTGAATTGTGTCCCCCCCCTAAATAAATATGTTGAAGTCCTAACCCTCAATATATCAACACGTGACTATACTTGGAGACAGGGCCTTTATAGAGGTGATTAGGGTAAAATGAGGTTGTCAGGTTGGGCACTAATCCAGTGAGACTAGTGTCATTATTTGAAGAGGAGATGAGGACACAGGCACAAAGAGAAGACCACATGGAGACACAGGGAAAATCAGCCATCTATGCACCATGCAGACAGGCCTCAGATGGGACCAATCCTGCCAACACCTTGATCTCGGACTTCCAGCCTCCAGAACTGTCAGACGAGGATTTCTGCCATTTAAGCCACCCAGTCTGTGGCATTTTTTACTGCAGCCCTAGCTGACCAACACAGGCATGGGCCCCAGGGTGAGAAGAGTCTTCTGTCCCCTCCAGCCATGGGTAAGAATGGCCTAGCACCACAGTCAGGACACAATCACACTGAGAAAGCACTGAAGATGGGCTGCTTCTCAAAGCCAGGCTACATGAGGCTGGGGGCCATACTCCTTGGATTCCGAGGGCTGACCCCCAAGGGCACGACTCTGACTTTCCTCTCCCACTCTGCCTCCTTTAAGTCACACCACCTTTTAGTGGTACGTCCAGGCGTGTGTTAGACAGGCTGAGTCAAGGGTGGGAGACGGGAGGGGAGACTGCTTCCCCGCCTCTGCCTGTAGGTGCCTGAGGGGGGTTGCAGCACCCAGGGAGGGGGCTGCACCAGGTGTGTGGAGGGGGACGCAGGAGGGTCCTTGCAGAGCTGGGAGCAAGCATGCACGATGAGGTTGAAGGGCAGCTCCAGACCATCTTGAATGAGGCAGTGCATAGCCCTTCTCCCCACTCTGTGCAGAGGCCACCCTCTGAAGACACTCAGGGACACCCCAGGTCTCTCGAGGCACAGGCACAGCCTCCTCACCCTGGGCAAGGAGCCACTTGAATATTTTTAGGGAGCAGGGAGGGATGAGTCACCTCTGGGCTCAATCCCCCACCAGAGAGAGTAAGTGGAACTGAGATCATCATCATGGCAGGATACCCAAAACAAAAACCAGAAGGTCTAGCTTTACTGAGTATTTTTAGGATTTTGCAATCAGAAAATCTAGAAAGAAGCAACCTGTAGTGGATTGAACTATGTCATCCCAAAACTTGCTGAAGTTGGGATTGTGTCCCCCAAGTTTTATGTATTAGAAACTTGGCCCCACTGTAACTGTTAAGAGGGTGGTGAATCCTTTTATGGTAATTGAAAGGTGGAGCCTTGAAGAGGTGATTAGATTATAGGACCACGCCATAGTGAATGGATTAAAAATGGTGGTCAGGGCATGGTTTGGAGGGCCTTAAAAGGGATGCATGAAGAGTCTGTCTCTCTGTGCTCTCTCTGCTCCACACTTTCACAATGTGATATCCTGCCATTACTGTCACCACTACCAAGACCCTCACTAAATGTGTTCCTTGGACCATGGACTTCCCAGCCTCCGAAACTGTAAGCAAATAAATTTCATTCTCTTTATAAATCACCCAGTTCTGTGTATTTTGTTATAAGCAACAGAAATGGACTAATATACTACCTTAATCTTAGCATACATGTAAGTTTCATGTCACTTCAGAAAATAAATCTCAGCCTTGAATTGCCCGTGGGGGTTGGGGGGTGGGCGCAGTGTCTCCTTTGTATTCCCGGACCCTGCAGGTCCCACTGGCTCTGGCCTCTCCCTTTATGAAGAGCCCAAAGTGGGAGCTATGAAGGAGCTTCCCCACCTTCCCATTTCTCCGACAGAAACACCTCTCCTCTTCTAGGTAAACTACCAGCCCATCCTGCTGCTTCATCTCTCCAACTGCAAAGCACTCAGGGGTCATCCCTGAGCTCATGTCTCAGGTTGAACAGAGCAGAGCACCTCCTCATTCCCCACACGAGCCAGAGAGCGACCCTCCGGCCGCCCTGCTTTCCTGACTGCAGCTGTGCACGGCCAGCCTCCTCACTCTTCTAAGCACACCCCAGGCCTTTATTTCTCCAGTCAAAATCATTACTGACCCTACCTCAACATATGTAAAAAATAACTCAAAATGGATCAAAGACCCAAATGTAAAAGCTAATATTTAAAAACACTTAGAAGAAAACATAGGGGCAAATTTTCAAGATCTTGGATTTGACAATAGACTCTTAGATATGACACAAGCAACAAAAGGAAAATAGATAAGTTGGACTTCTTCAAAAGGAAAAACGTTTGCATTTCAGAGGACATCATCAAGAGAGTGAAAAGACAATTCACAAAATGAGGAAATATTTACAAATCATATATCTGATAAGGTACTTGTATCCAGAATATATAAATAACTCTTACAACAACAAAAAGACAAATATAACCCAATCAAAACATGGGCAAAGATTTGAATAGACATTTCTCCAAAGAAGATATACAAATGTTCAATAAACGCATGAAAAGATGCTCAACGTCATTAGCCACCAAACGCAACAAAGAATCACGCTGAGACACCACTTCAAACCCACTGGGACAGCTTTAGTAAAAAAGACAGATAAGAACATGGGCTGGCAAGGACGTGGAAAAACTGGAACCCTCATCCATCACTGGTGGGAATGTAAAACGGTATAGCCGCTTTGGAAAACAGTTTGGCGGTTACTCAAAAAATTAAACATAGAGTTACCATATGATGAGGCAATTCTACTGCTAGGTACATACCCAGGAGAAATGAAAACAAAACATATGTCCACAAAAACTTGTACATGGACGTTAACAGCAGCATTATTCATAATAGCAAAAAGTGGAAACAACCCAAATGTTCATCAACTGATGAAGAGATAAACAGGCTGGCTCAGCTGGTTAGAGTGTGGTGCTCAGAGCACCAAGGTCCAGAGTTCCATCCCTGTACCAGCCAGCTGCAAAAAAAAAAAAAAAAAAAAGAGAGAGAGAGAGAGAGAGAGATAAACAAGATGCGGACAAGGTATATCTATACAATGGAATATTAACTTGCAATAAAAAGAAATGGAGTATTGATACATGCTGCAACATGGATAAACCTCAAAACCTCAAAAACATTACGCAAAGTGAAAGGAACCACTTCCAAAATGGTTCCATTTATATAAAATGTCCAGAATAGGCAAATCCATAGAGATAGAAATCAGTTGTTGCCTAGGGTTGGAGGGAAATGGGGAGTAACTGCTAATGGGGGGCTTCTTTTTGGGGTGAAGAAAGTGTTCTAAAAGTGTGGTGATCATTGCACAACCTGTGAATGTACTAAAACCATCGAGCTGCACACTTAAAATGGGTGAATAATACGGTACGTGAATTATAGCTTAATAGAGCTATTACCAAAAAACAAAACAAAACATGCCTGGTCCATTCCATTTCCTTTCTCCACTAAGGCCATCTGTCCCATTGCTTGGTCTGCAAGATAACCTAGGCTTCTCCTCCGCCTTCTCATGGTCTCCCTGGATGCTGGTCCAGATTTGAAAGGGGAGTGAAAGGAGCTGCACCCACCTTTTGCCTGGTAGTACACCTCGCCAGCAAAGTGGGCAATGCCAAATCTGGCGTCGTGGATGTTCTTGGGTTGCAGGAAGGCCTTGTTGTTGGCGTGGATGCTGTTCAGTTTTTGCACCAGGCTGATATCTGTCCCCTGGAAGAACCCAGACCCCCTATGGGCTGAGGTCCCAGAGTCCAGCCAAGGGGAGGTCAGGGGTCCACCTACAGGGCTCAGGGGCTTCCTGATGGGGGCAAAGCAACCTGGGCTCAGAATGACTGAGGGCCTCTCTATAGACAGGAAACTAACAGCAAGGGATCAATGACTAGTCCCAGTGAGTAGGGGCCACGCTGGGAGCAGAGGCCGGGTCTGCCACCCTGCTCTGCTAGCTCTCCTGCTCCACCTCTACACAATTGTCCAGGCACCCCAGCAGTCAGGGAAGCCTTCCTGCAGGAGGTGGGCCTGTGGCTGGCCTTGAAGGAGAGGAAGTTCTGCTTAGGCTGGAGCTTGTCTGCTTATTTCTGGCAGATGTTTCAGCAATCCTGGGAACAAGTGGGCCACCCAAATGGAGTTTCCCAACCTGGAAGAGGGGACCCATGAGCAGGGGTTTCCACCTGAAGGTTGGCGGGTCCAAACGCACACCTGTGGGAAGCGGCTCTCCTCGTCCAGGAGAGACATGATGCTCATGGGCTTGAGAGCCAGCAGGTCCAGGGTGGGCTGGTTGTTGGTGTAGTGGATGTAGTCCCAGGCAATGTCCTCCGAGTGGTACTCCTCCTGCTCCATGGTGAACACGTGCTGCACAAAGAACTGCTGCAGGTGCTCATTGGCGAAGTTGATGCAGAATTGCTCGAAGCTGTGAAGACAACGTGGGGTCAGCTGGGTCCCCGTTGTGGCTGGCAGGAACCATGGGGTCACCAACCTTGTGCACACAGCTGCATACATATAGGCCCACAGACACATCCCTGTGCACATGGAGCCCTACACACAAATGCACACACCTCCCTGTGCAGCCTCCCTCTCCTCTATTACCATTGCTTCCTCCCTCCCATGGCAAACACACTAAGAGAATCGAGAAGGTGCCGCAAATCATTAAGTCCTTGCCTTTGGCTTCTGCAATTCCCAACAGGATCTTCTGCCAGGCCTGCCTGTCCTGATGCTGAGGCAATCCTTGTGGGGCCAAGTGCCATGAGCAGCCCTGGCCATGACTGCTGGGCCCCTGCATCAACCAGACATGCTCCCTACTCTGTCCCCCCATCCTCCAACCTGCTCTTCCTCCTGGGTTCCCTGCCTTAGGAAATGGCCCCTCCACCCATCACCCGAGGCTCAGGTCAGAAACTAAGGAGTTGTGCTCTCTGTCCCTCCTCCCCAATTCCTATCAGTTGCCAAAGTCAGGTCTGTGCTGTCTCCAACACAGCACCCTATACTGTTTACTTTTTTCATTCCCACCATGGCTACCTTAGTCCAGGCTACCTGCACTGCTCACCTGGAGCACAATGATGGCCTCCTATTGGCTCTCCCTGCCTCCAGCCTTGCTCCTCAAATCATTCTTCATGCGGACACTAGAAGGCGCTTGCTGACATGCAGACCGGTCATGCTCTTTGCTTCAAATCCTCCCGGGATTCCCCTTGTTTTCAGGATCCAGAGGGCAACAGCAATAGAAAGCCTTGCCCACCTCTACAGCCTCACCCCAGGCCCCCATCTGGCCTGTCTGAACTTCTTGCAACTCTCTGAATGCATCTGGATCTTTCCTGCCTCCTAGTCGCCACATGTTGGTGCCCCTCCTGTCTTTCCTCATCACGGTTCATTCTGCTCTTAGGGTTACTCTTAGGCATCTCTTACTCAGGATGGGTTGCTATTTAGGCAAGATCTCATCATACCTGAGACTGCTTGCTCACCATCTGTTAACCCAAGAGGTGAGGGAGCACGTTCCAACCAGGGAGACTGCCATGTTCCCCATTCCCCACACCCAACCTGGAGGAGCTCAGTGAACACTTGCACAAGGCATCACCAAGCAAGGGACCTGGCACCTTGTAGCAGCTCCTTCCCAGGCCCCCAGGCTGTAGCCCTGGCCCAAACCCAGCTGGGGGCTACTGGTGGCCTTCCCTCAGGGACGGGGGTGGGGGTCCCTGTGTACATGGCCAAATCCCCAGAACAAGCCACTCATCCGTTTCCAAAGTGTTCAAAGACTTGCTTGGTCTGCTCTGTTGTCCCTTCCGGGGCCAGAAACCAGTGATATGAGTCACACTTGAGTTTACCGTGCTTCAAATCTCCTCCCACATTAGGCTTAGTTCTGCCAGCCCTACCCCTCCCACCTGCCCTCAGTGAGCACCCCCAGCTGGCCCTGGAGGGCTCAGATCCCCATGTGCTTGCATTCGGAATGGTCTGTGTCATTGCAGTTTTGGCTCTCCAAGGGGCCCCTCTAAATCACTCCTAGGTCAGACTTCACCTAGAAACAGGGCCTTGGGCAGGTGATGCTAAGGTCAAGCCACCCCTGGGCTACTTGGGACAGTGCCCAAAGGCCTTTGTTTCTGTCTCATGTAGCCCTTATGAACCAGGCTCAGAATGCTGCCTGCCTGCTTGTCCCACAGCCCTCACTTTCCCCAGCTGACTGCCTCCTGCCTGGGCTAATGCCCCAGAGCATCGTGTATTCTGCTTTGGCTCACGACCTGGCTCTCTTCACCTCCCTTGTCTACCTCACCCCCACCCCTCGTCACAGTCACATCTGGTGGCAGTTTTCTGCCCTACCTCCTAGTTACAGCTTTTCTGCTTCATCTGGGGTGCTGGGACACTAGGAGACTGGGTCAGAGGTGTCCTGCCTTGCCTTTACCCCCGCCCCCAAACTCAAAAGGCAGGGATGGTCCACAAATGTCCCTAGGTTCCCCCATTACCTACTATGATAGCCCACCCAAAGATGCAGCTGAATCAATGTTACTGATTTCCATTTTCACCCCGACCTCGTGATAATTCACCCTGGTGCAAGAGGACAGCAGATGGCTGAAGAGGGGTGACAAAAGCTGGGGTCTCATCCTGGCTCTTGGGGATGGCTTTTAACTATGTGGCCTTCTCTATACATGCTGGGTGTGCTTGGGGTGCTCATGGGCCGTCTCATGTAGAAAGACTTGGGCCTGCTCGCAGACTCCTCCTGGCATGGTGAGCAGAAGTGAGAGGTCCCTGCCCCCACCCCAATGGCAGAGGCAGGGGTGGGGGAAGGCTACCCTCTAGCTTGCTCAGTTAGAGAGGAGCCGGGCTTATCATCTATTTTCTGAAAGCGGGTGGATTGAGATCGTCATACCTATTGTTCTGGAAATTTTCAAAGCCAAATATGTCCAGGAGGCCAATGGCCCTTCGCACATTTTTGGGGTCCTGGTCAGGTAGTGTGAAGATAACAGCATTGATCTTCTTGATGATCCACAGGAAGAGGTGCCCGTAGATTCCCTGGGGAGACATGGGGTGAAGCCCTGGCTTTGACGCACAGGTGGAAGCTGCCCCTTCTCCAAGTTCACTGGAAAGGCTGCATGCAGAGTGGGTGTCATGGACCTACTGAGGGATGTTGTCCCTAGGCCTGAGAGGCCAGGAAGCCCACAGTCACCAGGCAGGTGACTGGCACAGTCATGACCAGCCCAGCGATCTCCGCTCTTTCTTGCTGTCCACCAACAGGGCAGGGGGTGGGAGTCTGCTCCTGCAACGCTGTACCTTCACAAAGGCATCCCTCCGGTCTGCAGCCTGGGCGACGTTCAGAGGCCTGGTGACATGCTCCCCGCGGATGAGAATGGTGTGCTTGACCAGACAGTTCCAGAGCGCCTGGTGCTGCACCTGGGAAGGCAGGTGGAGGCTGCCTTGTACCTGTGGAGCAGGGCCTGGCCCAGGACTTCAATCTGCTTCTGCCACGTCTACTTCCTTCTTGTGACCAAACACTTTATGCCCAGTACCAGAGGGTGGGCAATGCCAGTGACCAGGGCCAGGCTGGATCAGGCCACTGCCAGGGTCCTAAGAGTGCTGGGGCCCAGAGGATGCACCAGCCCGGTGAGCCTACAGCATGCTGGTCCCCTGGGCGCTGGGGTCACCAGATGAGCCCCGGAAAACCAGGGGCAGAGAGGGCTCTGAGGCCAGGCTTCATGCCATGACTGAAGTCATTCCGCCTGGAGGCTGAAGGCATACAGGAGCAAGGGGCGTCTGGAGGGGCCAGGCCCTCCCAACCATACTGGGAAGATTAAGCCGGCGATAGCCCAGTTTCTAAGTACCCTTGAACCAAATGAAGAATGCTAAGAGCAAAATGGGCCTAATTTGATTGCTTTTTTCCCTTTTGCTTCTGATTCTATTAATTTCCCACCAGAACTGTCAATAGGGCGTGATGCGGAGGATGCTGAAATGTCCCCAGGGTAAAGGTCTCTCCTCATTCAGTGCCTCTGCTCTTCCTCTGAGTCAAGACCCATTTGGTGTCTGTAATATGGTGGGGGGCTAGTGGTATGAGCCCCAGACTCACCAGCACATTCCACCTTCCCGGAATAGCATGGCTCATATAGAAGCCCTAGGGGACAAGGGCACAGCACAGGGACATCGTGATGGGCGCTGGGTTAGGTGCCCAAATGGGGATTGCTTAGGGACTGGATGGGGTGGAGAGTGAAGGTGCTGAGTGAGGCCACTGAGGAGCAGGAGGGGACACAAGAGAAGGGAAGAAATGCTTGTGAAAGCCAAACTGGTCATTGCTGCTTTGTTAATGATAGGTTCACATTGCCCCTTCTCTGATGTCCATCCTCAGGGGCCCGCAGCGTGCAGGGCACAGGGTTCGAGCTTAGAGCCTGGGAGAGGGGTGGGAGGCAGGAGTGAGTGCCTGGGCACGGTTACGAGAATGAGCCATCAGGGTCTGTCGGCCCAGGCCCCCAGACCCCTCACAAAAGTGGAAGCTGGCACAACAGCCCAGCTACCTGCAGTAACTTCCTCACAGTGGGAAAGGCAGGCATCTCCATCACCACATCTGAGGAATCCAGGTTCTCGAACACCGCAGCTAGAGAGAGAAGCAGGAACCCTGAGTGGGAAAGCGGCCTGAAGCAATGGGACAGGGGGCCACCATGAGGCCTGGGCCCAGGGCAGCTCCAAGTCCACACACTCTAGACAACTGTCCCTGGCAGTAACCACTGCCTCTCCCAGGGCCCTCTCTTGGAGGGGTAAGTGTCCCTGTGACCATCAGTCCTTAGCGCCTTAGCACTGAAAAAATGTGAGTTACAGACCACAGCTCTCTCTGCTTGATGGGATCAGGACCCTAGGTCAAAGGGAAGTTTGAACAGACGTGGGCTTATGGGGAGGGAGACATCTGAATCGGGACACATGGCAGGCACCAGCACTGGTGGGGGAGCCAGGTGGGATCTATTAGGGGAGATGATGAGCCACCAGCACCCCTCAATCCACTCTGCTATCCACAGAAACTTGGGCATTCATTTATTCATTCAACCAAATGAAACAGGTGTTAGTGGAGCACCGACTAGACAAATGAAACAGGTGTTAGTGGAGCACCGACTAGACGGGCCTAACCCTACTGCAACAGCCTCCTGTTCTGGTGCCTCCTCTGTGAGCCAACACCCACCTTAGCACTGACCACCAGGCTGGGAGTGTGTGTGTTTTCTTTTCTCAACTTAAAAAAATTGTGAAATAAAGCATACAAATAAAAATATACATAAAGCACAAAGGTAGGGTGTAATGAACTAAGTCAATACTGTGTAACCGCTACACAGGCCAGGTGTAGACCCTGCCAGCACCCGAAGCCCTCCACGTGTCCTTTCTGGCCAAGACTGTTCTTCTCCACTAGGGGCATCCACTCTCCCAACGTTTATGGAAACCACTTTCTTGCTTTCTCTTCACTGATTTATTACCTACATAGAGTCCTAAACAGCATCTAATCTGACCGGTTTTTAAAGTTATGTGAGTGTGATCTCTCTGTGCCACCTTCTCTTCTATGCTTTCCATCTTTATTTCTCCGAGCTGACTTTCCTTCCAGCTCACACATTCCCTCTTCACGTGTATGAAATTGGCTGTTAAACCCATCCACTGAGTTCTTAATTTTGGTTATTTTATTTTTTTAATTTTACAGTTTCTATGTGGTTCCTTCTAAAATATGTAATGTCACTTTTTATAGTTTCCAGTTTCCTGTCTAAATTTTCAAGCTTGGCTTTTTCTTTCCTGGAACAAAGCAAGCAGGGCTGCTCTGTAGTTTGTGTCCAATGATTCCAATATCTAAATTCTTTGTGGATCTACTTTTATTATTTATTATTTCCACTGGCTCTTGCTCATGGTATCTTGTTTCCTCATTTCTATCTATTTCTGGCTGCATGCTGGATGTTTTGTTTGAAAAATTATTTGCAGGAATCATTTGTGATCTAGGTTGCTGGTATTTTCTTCCAGAAAGGATCGTCAGTAACTTCTATCAGCTGTTGGAGGTGCTAAAAGTTCAGGACACCTTAATCCCCAGACCACCCCAATACTTACAAACTGGTTTGCAAGTCAGTGCATGGAGATGTTTACTCTGGTTCATCTTTACCCGAGAGGGTGGCCCTTTGGGGTCCAGCTAAAAGTGGGGGACGATTGACCAGAGTTTCCACCTTTGGAGGGCTCTAAGCTTTGACATCTTTCCCCTAGCCCCACAAGGCCTCCAAATCATAGCTAAAATTTTCAGATGTATCTTTCTGGGACCATGGTGGGTCACATGACCCATGGACCCTTCCAGTGAGAACCTCGAGACTTCTTCCTCCTCCTGTCCCAGTCCCCCCACTCTTCCTCCCCAGTGGGTGCACTTTGGGCAGAAACAGCATTACCCATAAACTCCACGTTCCCCAGGTGGAGGATGGCTGCCAGCAGCTTGCTGAGGTCCCAGTTCTCAGAGTCAGAGAACAGGAGGATCTTCATGGCTGAGCGTACATGAGCGTAGTCTCTGGCATCATCGAGCCCCTCACAGGAGGTGCAGTTCCCCTGCAGGACAGGGCACCTCAGCTAACAGGTCCATCCCATACCCTCCACCCTGGAGCCAGCAGGGTCAAGACACCTCAGGCACTCAGCTGAAGGCCCCTGAGAAGTCACACGTCATAGGCTCCAGGTGGCCCAAGCTCAGAAAATACTTGTGCATAAAAATACTTCCAGAGGCAGAACCACGATGCCAGAGACACAGTGTGCCTGTGCCCTGTAGCCAGGGCTTGCACTGGGCAACTGTGTGACCTCGGCCAAGACATTCCACTTCTCAACCTCTATCTGTTATCGCCCACACTTGAGTCTCCCTTGTCTGTCTCTGGGGAATACCATGGGCTCGAACCTCTAACCAACACTTTACAAGGCTCACCATGTGCCAGGCCCTATGCTACTTGTTGGAAATTCAGAAATGGTGAGACCTGGCCCTGCCCTGGGTCCTGTGCGTGCAGAAGGGGCAGGCTGGAAGTAGATGACTGCATCATGGGCTGTTACAGGTGCTGAGACTAAAGGGGCTGGGGCCAGGGCCAGCCTATCCCTATAGGAGCCTTTCCCTAAAGGGGTTGGGGAAGGGCTCCCTAGAGGAGATGCCTGAACTGGCCCCATGTGCTCAGCCACAAAGCAGCACAGGGCAGAGGGTGGTCTAGGTGGGGGCAAGACTGTGAGGTAGAAAGCAGGGGTGGGGGCTATGAGAAGGCTGGGGTCAGAGTTGAGAAGAAGAGGTTGGCAGAGGGTTGGATCCTGGAGGGACTTGGAAACCACCCCAAGGAGTTTGGACTTTACCCTATAAGCTACAGAAGTCACAGGAGCCTTTCCTCTGGTGGGGACCAAAGACTTTTTTTTGGTGGCTGGCTGGTATGGGGATCTGAACTCTTGATCTTGGTGTTACAAGACTGTGCTCTAACCAACTGAGCCAACCAGCCAGTCCCTGCTGTAATTATTAAATCTCTCTCTTAGCATGGCTTGTTTCTCACTAGCTTTAGAGATTCCCCATCTGTTTTGGGGTACCACTTTGGGTAAGAAGTTCTATGGATTCACCAACCACTGTGTGAAGAAGTACGAGCTCTGGAAGGACAAACTTTGGAATCAGAGAGACTCTACCATGTACTAGATCTGTGACCCTGAATAAGTTACCTAACTTATCTGGACCCAGTTTCTTCATCTCTACAATGGGGATGAAGAGACCTACCTCTGGTGGTGGTTGTGAAGATCCAATGAGGTAATACAGGGAAAATGCCTGGGACCTGACAGTGCAGGTGGTGAGCTGTCACTTGCACAGTGCCACAGCCTCTGTCCATCCTCACACACAGCCCCGCCTCTCTGTTGGTGGTGTTTACCCACTCTGGACCTTCCTCTGTGTGTGTGTGTCTGTGTGTGTGTGTGTGTGCATGCAAGTGTTAGGTGTTAGACTGAAATAGAGCTCCCTACACCCTCATAACGTACGCTATCTGCTTCTGCAGAATTGCTTGCTCAACCTAAGTAACTTCATTTTGCCCCGTCTGACCTGCAGACTACCCCCCCTGCTGCATGAGAAACCGTTGACCTTCTCCTAGAAACAAAAGCTGTTATGTAGAAACAGGAGCCATATACAGTGAATTATTACATGGGAACAGGAACCACACACAATGAAAACTTGTATGCTTTATTGCTCGAACGGCTCATTCTAGGCCTCTGTGACCTAGCTCCCTAGCTTGCTTTATGCACCTGGACAAACCCGTGTGCCAACGGGATGTAGTTTTTGCCTTTAAAAACCCCACAAGAGAGCTAAAAATAAATAAATAAATTCACACGCACACACAAAAAAACCGGGGGAGGGGGGCGGAAGAAGACTTAACAACTACAACTCCTTGAAGCTGATACGACAAGCAAACAGAAAGGACATTGTTAGGTGGGAGGGGGGAGAGGGAGGAGGGAG